AAAAAAAGAAGAAGCATTCTCTTCTTCTTCCTCGAAAACCAGTGCCTCAGGCAAATTTTAATCCAACAATTCTCATATGCGGTGGTGTTTGAGAACGTTAACACGTCGGCATCTCGGGACGGAGCAAGTCAATTTTTTCTTCTTCCTCGCGCTTACCTGACTTCTCGTGCCTCTCCAAAACCTTCTTCTCGTCCTCACCGTCGCGTCCCGTGGTCTCGACCGTGGAGGAGCAGATCTCGTACACCCAAACATTCTAGCTGCCGGCGTCGGAGTTGGGGCAGCTATGCGATCAAATTAATTTTATGTATATGTATGTATACAAGCATCGATGAAAACTCGATCAGGTTCAAAATATGTGCAATTAATATTTTAATGTAGAAGGTTTATAAAGAGAGAGGTGTGCCGTGATTATCTCGTCCCATGATTTTAATTTTGCTAATAAAATAGTTGTTTTAATTTTGCTAATAAAATAATATGTCAATATATTTTCTTGAATATATCATGCATGGCGTAATTTTATCTACTAATAAAGGGAACTTTACCATGAGCCTTTTTTCTTTACCATGTTTTTATACAAAAAATTTCATTCAAAGTGGATTTTTTTTTGTTAACTATAGTTAATTTGAAAAAAGATTGTATGGTTAATTGTTAGTGGGGTTTTGAATTTATATTAAAATAATATTTAAAATAAAATAATTAAAGTTGATTTGATGTAAAAATAGAAAAAGGATGATATGAAGTAATGGTTAGTTAAATTTATGTGAGTAGATGAATAGTGAATTAAGGTAGATGTGATGTGTAAGAATAATTGGATGATATTATTGAATTATAATGATAATATTTAGGATATTGGAGTTGCGTTAAAGTTTAGTTAAATTTTGAGTTGAATGAAATTTTGAGTGAATTTTTTTGTATATAAACATGTAAACAAACACCGTGTGTTTTTTTTTTAATATAAAATGTATAGTAAAATAAATTATTTATTAATAGAATAATATAGTTCTTATCAATTAAGTAAAATATAAATATAATGAAAATATATCGTATTGTATTTTTAAAAAACAATGAAATCAAAGCTTTGTTCATGAAGTTGGAGGTAATCTCTTTGCATCCATTAATAAGTATCATGTATTAAAATGAGTATCATTTTGTTTATTCGAGTTTAGTAGCTCTTGATCAAGCTCGTTCTTGTTTAAGAAACGAACTCACTTGTTTTGGTCGGACTCGTTTAATAAACGAGCAAAAAACTTGGCTTGAGCTCGACTTATTCAAGTTTGTGAAAGCTCGACTTGATTCATGTAATAAACTTAACTCTTAAACGAGTCGTTTAAAACAAGTTTGCGTCGACTATTTCATTTAAAATTCATATAAAAAAAGATTGACGGGCTGGTGACAAACAAACTTTGCTCGGATGTCTAATTTTACAAACGAGCTTGATTAGGTGTTCTAAATTTCTAAATGGTTCGTTTAGGTAAAGGACGAATCGAGGTTGAACTTTTACAAATCGAACCAAATTGTGTTTCGCGAACTATTCATTTCATTTAATTATTTTACTTTAAGTGGACGATAAATGGTGTCATTGGACATTGAAACTAAGGGTATGCTTGTTTACAAATTATTTCATTCTCATTCAACTAGTACGTGGCCCGTGCGATGCACGGGAAAATAATATTTTGATTGTATTATAAATTAAATAAATAAATAACATTAATCATGATTTATCCATTATTTATAAATTAAACCGGGTTGGACACAGTCCGACCGAATGGACCGAGAACCGGTTTATAACCGATTTAGTGCGCTTGAATAAAATATTTGCTATCGAATCCGCCAACACCAGTATGTTGGACTGGTAAGATCGATACAATTTTCTAAACAAATTTTGTTACATGAAAAATTATTTTAAATGAAATTACATATTTAAATAAAACAGAGATTTATAAATTGTTTATCAATTAGTTTAAATATTTGAATTTATAAATTGTTTAGATATTTAAGTAACATTTTTTATTTAAATTTATTACAAAAAGTATATATATATATATATATATATATTTTAAGTATTATGTATTAAAATCTGAACAACCACAAGACGGTCCGATTATGAAAACCTTATATTTACCGTACATTAATAAAAATGATAATGAAATAAATATTTTGTTCACATAAATAATAATAAAATGATATATAAATATTCATAAATCATTAATCATGTTGTCATAAAAGCATTGTTAATATGATTATTTGAAGTTTGAACTACATCACATTCACGTAATAAAGTATATTCAATATTAAAATTTATATTTAGGTTCAATAATCAATTTGGTCTGGTCAAACTGATACATAACTTAGTTACCTCGGACCAACCAAGTTATGTCAAGTTTTTTTACTATTTTAAATATCACCTAAAAGTAATTCAATCAAAGTGGGCAGTACCCTAATTCAATCACCCGATTGATCCAAAGTAATTTTCTTATTTTCTTTAAATATAATATTTAATTTTATAAAATAAAAATATTTTATGATTCATATGTCTACACCAAATGATAGTATATTAAGATTATAAATTATATATTCAAAGATGAACTATTTATTTTTATTTTATGCATATTAATAAAAAATAAATATAGTAATTTTAAAAAAATTAAGATTAATTGATTGGGTACGCAATTTAAAAAATATTTTTAGCATTCAATATATATATATTTAATATGATTGAATTTTTGGATTAAAATATATATATTTAAAATAATTTTATTATTAAAAGTCAAAAAGAAAAGATGCCATAAATATTACAACTTTGAAAAGTTTGTAACCATTAATTTATGAACCCTCCGATTTTAAATGATTTATAATTTTTGAAACATGATACGTGCATTTAAAACCCAATAATTTAGGAACCATCCAATTTTTTGATAATGAATTAAAATTAAAATGTAAAATGTAAAAGTTGCTGAAAATAGTATATAATAAATGTGGTTGACTTTTTTCCTTACTACTATTTATGGTAAATGTTAATTCTTATTATATATATACAGATTTATACTCAAAATCTAACTCAACTTTAACCCAACCCCACTATTTTTAATATTATTCATATAATTAAATTATACAAACCAATCATTCTTACACATAACATCAACTTTAATTCACTATTCACCCACTCACATAATTTTAACTACCTATCATTTCCAATCATTTTCAATCATTCATCTCCTACTTTTACATCAAATTAATTTTAATCATTTTATTTTAAATATTATTTTAATATATTATTAAAATTCCACTAACAACTAACCATACAACCTTTTTCAAAATTAACTATAATTAACCAAAATAACTCATTTTGAATAAATTATTCCATAAACAAGCGCCCCTAAGGCTATGTTTGGTTCAACGTAGGGAAAGGGAGGGGAGGGATTTTAATGGAGGGGAGGGAAGGGGAGGGGAGGTGATGTAAAATCATTTTACCTTGTTTGGAAGGATTTTGTTGGAGGGGAATGAAGGGAAAATGGCAAACCTTGTTTGGTTAGATAAAGAAAGGGGAGGGAAAATAATGTTAGAATGACAAATGTATCCTTAATGATGTTAAAATAAAAATTAAAATATTATATATGACAAGGATAAAATTGTAATTGAGTGTCTTAATATTTTCCCTCCCCTCCAAATTCCCCCAAAATTGGAGGGGGAGCCATTTTCCTCTGCACATCAATTAGAGGGGAAAATCTCATCCCCTCCCCTCCACAAAAGAGTGAACCAAACAGAAGAAAATTAAAAGTTTCCCTCACCTCCCTTCCCCTTCTCTCTCATTCCCTTGAACCAAACACTACGTAAATATATTCAAATTATATACATACAACAATATAAGCAATCATGATATCAAATTTATTCAAATAACATCTAAATAAAGTCCTTTAAATAAGAAAATAATTGATGCTACTATTTTGAGTACACTTTTTACTTTTTAGTTGTGCTGTTGACCGTCCCAAAATTTGTTCCAAATCACAGACAGCGAGAACACAGCTCATGTCATCATAAGTCATAACCTTACAAAACCCTACAAAATTTACCAATAAAACCCCGCCGCTGCCATTTCCCCTCATCTCTTTCAATTTTCCCCCATTTTTGCCTTTTTAGGGGTTTTTTCATTCTTTATCTTCAATTTGTGTGTTTCGTCCTTCTACCTCGATTCGCCATGAGCAACCCCGGTAAAAACAACTTTGACATGTCCAACTTGGACCTGTCTCTCCCCGCCGCCGCCGCCGGTATTTTCACCGTTTCGCCGAATTCTATTTACTTCGTGTGTGTGTGTGTGTGTGGGGTTTGGATTTGAAGGTTTGATGTTGATTTCCTGTGCAGCTTTGAGTGAGGAGGATCGCTCTGATTTAATGAATGCGCTCAAGGTTTTTTGATTTTTCAGTTTTTCGCCTCCTTTTGTTGTTGCCACTTGATTTTATGATGTTTTTTTGTTGATTGAGGTTTACAAACGTGCGCTGTAGGATAAACTGAGCAATCTGGCTGGGCAGCACGCAGAAGTTATGGAGAAACTGACACCGAACGTGCGGAAGCGCGTCGAGGTGCTTAGGGAGATTCAGGTCTGTGTTGATTTTAATGTTGTGTGTGTGCGTGCGCGTGCGCGTGTTTTTCTTGTTTTGTTTCTTAAATTCACTACCACAAGAGATTGAAGATTATATGAATATTGACATAGGGTTATTAATTGGAATATCACCTATGACTGTTTAATTGGCTGTCTGAACTTTTTTCTGGTTTTCAGTTCATGTTTCTTAGGTTCAGTTGTATGTTGGCATAAAACCCTGTATTTTACCTCTGCTTGTTTTATTATGGTGATTATGGTTTTGATTAATGATTTGGTTCCTTATTGGTTTTTGATATCTGATATGTAAGAGAACATTAAATTATCTACCTTAAACCTTTTTTGATTTCTGATATCTGTCAACTTTGTCTTGGGCTGTATTTTATGACCTTCCTGTATACAAATTAGCTACTTTGGTGCTGGGCCTCCATTATCCATGAGGTTATGCTTAAAAATCTGTAGTAGCTGCACTGTGAGAGTAAATAGATCTGGTTTAATTGATGATGAAGTTCACCAACTTGACTAGTGAAGAAAAGTGGTCATGGTCAACTGACCAGGCCAAGCATATTGCATGATTATAGATTAGTTTGGTCACATTTGAATCCAAATATTTGCTAGTCTGAGGTTTAATTAACTTTGGATTCGAGTTGATCTATGACTGGGTTAATGTAATTTGTATTCCATACTAGGACTACATATTTCCAGATAGGATGTATACTTCTTGTGAGACACGGGGATAATTGTTGTTGTGGTCTTGTAACACGACTTTTCATTGACAGGGCCAACATGATGAGCTAGAGGCTAAGTTTCTCGAGGAGAGAGCAGCACTTGAAGCGAAATACCAGAAACTTTATGAACCATTGTATACAAAGGTACGTACATTCTTATAAGCTCAGTACTTCTTATATGCTGCAAAAGTAGGAACATTCTCATAACTGGAATATTTTTTCGTATGTTATTTCTATTTTAAGGATTGATTCCCATTTGAACCAGATCACACACACACACACACAATTTAAGGATGTTGTGTTTGGTGGGTAGAATTTCGTCTATAACAAATCATTTTTTCTTTCATTTTCAAAAAATGTGCAGCGCTTTGAGATTGTAAATGGTGTTGTGGAAGTTGAAGGAGTGACCGATGCTTCAGCGGACCAGGGAGACGATAAAGCAAACAAGGGTAAACCAAGACTAGCTTATCATCTATTTTTCTAACTGCCCAACTACAGTTGTATAAAAATTTCATAATGGGCTGTATGGTGGTTATCTTGAGATACCTTACTGCCTTTCTGTATCTGGTTTATTTACAAGTAAACTGGTTTATTTATCTTCCCAGATAAAGGTGTGCCCGACTTCTGGCTGACAGCAATGAAGACAAATGAGATATTGGCTGAGGAGGTTGCCTTTTTACCCCAATACTCTATTTTTTGTGCTCTGATGATGATGCTGAAGACTCTTTTTCCTTGTTTAGATTTCAGAACGTGATGAAGATGCTTTGAAGTTTCTCAAGGATATCAAGTGGTCTAGGATTGACGATCCCAAGGGTTTCAAGCTCGAGTTCTTTTTTGATACGAATCCATTCTTCAAGAATACCGTGCTTACAAAAACATACCATATGGTTGATGAGGATGAGCCGATACTAGAAAAAGCAATAGGGTAATTTTTTATTCAATATCTCAGACATTCTAGCTTGTATTTTACTTTGTTTGTTTTTCTTTTCTTCCTCCCACCATTGTTGGAAAATTTACTGAAGTGGGTTTTGATTTGTATCTAAAATTGGATATATCTTGCAGGACACAGATCGAATGGTATCCAGGCAAATGCTTGACTCAAAAGATTTTGAAGAAAAAGCCAAAGAAGGGGACAAAAAATGCTAAGCCAATAACAAAGACTGAAAAGTGTGAAAGTTTTTTCAACTTCTTTAGCCCACCAGAGGTTCCGGAAGATGAAGAGGACATCGATGAGGATGAGGTGAGGGTGGTTATTTCACCACATGCTAATTTTTTTCACTAGAAACCTGAATCTGCTTGATCTTTACCATCCATGTTCAATTATACTTCTCTGGTGTTATTTGTCTTGATAGGCTGAAGAACTCCAGAATTTAATGGAGCAAGACTATGACATTGGGTGAGTCTCATTTTCCATTTTAAGATTAGTACATAATTAAATGAAACATGAGAAATCTTTGTTTACTCATGCAGTAAGACCTTATATATTATATCTTTCCTCTACCCACTAATAATCTGTTCATACAAACATAACTTTACTCTCTACAGCTCAACTATTCGGGATAAGATTATTCCTCACGCTGTGTCATGGTTCACTGGGGAGGCTGCTCAAGATGATGAACTTGATATGATGGAGGATAATGATGTTGATGATAATGAAGATCACGAAGATGATGATGATGATGAGGAAGAGGATGAAGATGAGGACGATGAGGATGATGATGATGAAGACGAAGCTCCTGTCAAGTTCTCAAAGAAGGTAAAATAGAGCAATCTTAAAATGGCAGTTCAATTTTATTTTAGCTTCAGAATTCAACTTGGGGTGATTTTTTTTTCTCTACTTGTTGCACGAGAAACTTCAGTCATCTCGACCGAAGGTATGAAAAATCTCTATATAACTCATCTGTTTAATGCTCTGTAGTGTTCATTTATGTGTTTTATCGAGCTTGTTGGGATTTTTATTTATTTATTTATTTATTTTTGTAACAGAGAGGTGGGGCGGGGCTAGCTGTGGAAGGTGCGCTGGGCGAACGCCCTGCCGAGTGCAAGCAGCAGTAAAGCTGATGATTTTGCAAATTTTTTGGTCCATGCATGTTCGTCTTTACGGATTGGCATCGGTTTTATGGTGGTTGAATGGATTTTTTTATTTGGGAGTCTTATATTTATTAGATCATATACTTTATTTGGTTTTGGTTCGATCTATTTTTTCTGTATGATGCTTTTGCTGAATGAATGGGGTTGTGCTTGTGGGTTTTGTATTATAATGAGTTGAGTTGCTTCTATGAATTTTGGGAAACGAGATTGATTTAAAGGATGTGATACATTAAGCAACGAGTCTTGTACATTTTTAAACTATTTTTACAGAACTATATTTTTTTAATGCTGTTTGTTATATATGAGAAAATTACAGACCTAAATTTTCTAATATCAAAGTTTTCAAGTGCTAACTGCTAAGTAGGATTGGAGAAACGTTGAAGGGGGTAATGTCAAAATCTTTGCAAGAAAATTCTTGCATAACACTTGCCAATATAATGAAAAAAAGCAATCAAATAAAATCATTCAAACAATAAATATTAATATATTTGTAATTAAAAAAAATCTTGTAAAATGTGCAAATAAAATGAGATTTGTATTTGGATGGATTGGATTAATGAAATTTGTATTTGTGAAAATTGTATTTAGATGGAGTAATATTCTCCTATAAACGAAAATTTAATGATTAGCACATGAAATGAAAGCCTAAAAGCGACCAGTTGGCAAGCCAAGGCCATAAAAATCCTTTCAATAATAGAAGTCAAATTCAATCTTATTTGAAGCATACAATACATGTAAGTCATTATAAACATCTCCTTGAGTGGACAATCATAGTTAGTGGTTTAAAGTTGTTATCTATTACAGAAATCATATTTGTTTCAAAACACAATATTGTGAATCTCAGGTTTTCCTGGGCAAAACTCAAAATGGCAGCAGCTTATGCAGCTCTACTTTCTCTTATGCACACCATAGACCAGATACAGAGTCACCCCTACCCTCCGATTTCTCTCAAAAAAACTTATATACTAAATCGCTAACCGAGAACATATCTTTGTTGTTGGACTTTCCGGAAAACTATTCATTCCTCGACAGCAAACAAGCAGATGCTTTGGAGGGACGTATTGGCAATGCAGCCTATGAGGCAGAGGATATGATGGAATCCCGTATAGTCGATCAAGTTTTTCAAGCTGCTTTCTCGAGTCATGGAAATAAATTCAGGCTCATTAATTTCTTGACTGCTCTTTGTACAGCCACAAGAAGAAGTCATGCTGAAAACATTGGTTGCAAAGACGACATGCTGGAGAAAGTGATGGGAAATATGAGTCTAATCGCGAAAGACGTAAAGGAGACAATGGCCAAAGTTGTGGAAATAGTGAAGGAACAAGGTGATCTTGGGAACCAAGTCCTTCAGCTCACAGTTGTGTTGTATGATAAGGGTGAGAATATAGTGACTGAGAGCTTTGTAAGCTAGGCTGCTTCACATATAAACATCATATTCTCACTGATTCTCCCATTTCCCACTTTTCACTCATTCTACATTAAGGACATTTGTGTTTTGTATGTTTCATTTTGTTAGATAGTAATTTGTGTTACAAATTTACAATATATTATGATTCAAGTTAATATTATTTAGTGACAGTTTGTTTTTATACTATGTCAACAGCCACAAAGGTGAGAACCTTAAAAGGTAGTTTTTCTTTTTTCTTTATTATTATTATTATTATTATTACAGTTTCTGAAAAAACAACCAATTGCATCCACCTTGATAGATAGAGATAGATCATAGATAGAGCAGTTGGCCATATGGTCATAAATGTCTTCAATAATGGAAGCCAAAGTTGTGATTTTTAGTCAAACCATACATCTAATTGGTCATAAAAAGTTGTGCTTTAGTGAATGCATACAACAAGTTGGTCATAAAAAAATGTGCTAACTGAAATCATACAGCTAAAGGTCCCAAATCTCACCCTTTTCACTGAAATGATCTTTTGTGCTTTCAGTTCTCTATCTATCTGTAACATTTGACAGTAGAAAACTTAATGGCAGCAGCTTATGCAGCTTTAGTTTCTGTTAGCCAAACTATCCAACACCTCCAAAAAAATCCTCTCCCTCGAATATCTCTTGACAAACCACAAACCGAGTCTCTAACCGAAAATGTAGCTTTCTTGATCGATTTTCTCGAACGTTATTCGTTCGCCGACACCCAAGAAGGGGTCTCTATGGAGGGACGCATAGCCGATGCAGCTCACGAGGCAGAGGATCTGATCGAATCTCATTTTGTCGATCAGATTGAAGTTCCTCATGGAGAAGAAAATCCCAATCCTAATGGTGATTTTTTAGGTCAAAGTCTGCAGAAAGTGACAGATAAAATGGAGCTCCTTAAGAATGAAGTCACACAGATTGTTAATAAAGGGAAGTTGTTTCTAATGAGAAACTATTCAATTCCTGCTTCGGCTGCTTCTGCTACAGGTTCATTAAGATCTTCTTCTTCTTCTTCATTGGGGCACGTGACAATGGTGGGACGTGATGATGTCATGATTGACGTCATGGACAAGCTGACAAACGGGGAATCGGGTCGCCACGTCATCCCGATTGTAGGCATGGGCGGCATTGGTAAGACCACTCTTGCTAAAAATGTGTTTTTGAATCCGCTTATAGTGCAGTACTTTGATTTATGTGGTTGGGCTACAATTTCTCACGACTACGATTGTAAAGGAATTCTCTTAGAAGTCCTTCTTTCTCTGAAAACCATAGAGAAAAAGGAGGATTCGAGCCAAATAACCGAACATGAATTAGGACAAAAATTGTACCAAACTTTATCAGGAAGAAGGTATTTGGTGGTGTTAGACGATATGTGGAGCATCGAGGCATGGGATAAAGTGAAATTCTACTTTCCCGATTATAATAACGGGAGTAGAATAATCGTGACCACTCGTCTTTTGAACTTAGCTTCTCAGCTGAGTGGCTCTCGTGGCCTCGAGATGAGCTTTCTCGACGAGTCTAACAGCTGGAATCTTTTCACAAAATGTGTTTTTCGAGAAGAAGAAACTCATCATCTCGAATTCGAGGAAATAGGAAAGAGAATCGCGAAATCTTGCCGAGGACTTCCATTGTCCATCACAGTGATTGGAGCTCTTCTGTCGAAGCACAAGCATTCGATTGAGTATTGGGAACACGTGCTGGCAAATTTGAACCGAGTCTTGAATTCTGAGGAAAACGAGCATTGTTTAAAGATACTGCGCTTGAGTTACGTGGAGTTACCCATTCACCTAAAGCCCTGTTTTCTTTACCTGGGCTTTTTTCGAGAGGACAGTGAGATTTCTAAGTCTAGGCTCGTGAAGTTATGGGCTTCGGAAGGTTTTCTCAAACCAGTTAACGGCAAATGTTTGGAAGTGGTAGCTGAAGACTACTTACAGGAGCTTGTGGATCGAAATCTGGTCTTAGTTCATAAGCGCTGGTCTATTGGGAGTATTAAAATCTGCAAACTACACGATCTTTTGCGAGACCTTTGCTTAAAAGAAGCTGAGAAGAGCAAATTTCTCTGTATCGTGCATCCACGTGATCCTAATGTCCGAAAAGAAATCGAAACCCAACGGCGAATATGTTTTGATGACTCGACGATAAACGAGGAATTCGATTTCGGTCAATTGCAATCTTTTTCGCTCCGTTCGTTGATATGGCCTTTAGGGACTGGGACGATTAATTTACGGCGTGTTAACTGTAAGTTACTGCGGGTACTAACTGTAGTGGCTTACAACACTTGTGATCCACCGGATTACCTCTCGGCCAACACGCGTTTTCTCGAATTTTTCTGCACCAACATTCACCGAGTAGCTTCTTCATTTCTCGGCTTTTTGTGTCAGCAGCTGATGTCATTAAACCGGGATCCGAACCCGACTCGACTTGTCGACATCTGGAAGATGACTCAGCTTAGGCACGTCAACTTGAATAGATTCCGAGTCATCCCGAGTTCGTCGGTAGTTTTGGAACACTTGCAATCACTCAAGGGAGTCGTGAACTTTAAGTTTTGTGGAGGTTTTGTCGAGCAAATCCCGAATATTAAAAAGTTGGCGATAGAATATGACGAGCAGTCCTCACTCGATGAGGATTATGGGCTCGAATATCTCGACCGGCTAACTAAGCTCGAAAGCCTTTGCTGCAACATTGATAAAACGGTTCGTGGGAAAGATTTGGGAAGAAGCCTTAGATTCCCGGTTTTGCTCAAGAAGTTGACTTTAGGCGGGACGAATCTCGGTTGGGAAGAGATGGGGAGGAAAATCGGGAAGCTGCCAAATCTTCAAGTGCTTAAACTGTGTGACGATGCATTTATAGGACACGTGTGGGAAACAGTCGATGGAGATTTCTTGCAACTCAAGTACTTGAAAATCGCCTACTGTAGTGGTCTGAAAAGATGGGAGGCTGACAGCTCGCATTTTCCGAGCCTCGAGAAGCTTGTTCTTGTCGGGCTATTCGGTCTGGAGAAGATTCCTCGGGAGATTGGAGATATACCGACACTTGAGTCGATACGTGTGACTGATTGCCCATCTGTTATACATTCTGCTAAGGTGATATTAAATGAACAACATGAGCTTGGGAATGAAGGCTTTCAGCTCTCTTTTGGGGAATGAATAATTCTTGGATTTTTTATTGGGTTAGTTATGGTTGTTTTGACAGATCTTCTCTTTTAGACCATTTTTTGCACTACACATTGGATTTGTCTGTTGTCCAACTGTGAAATTTTTGCACTACAGATTGGATTCAACTAACACTACTGATCATATGGAATACTGGGAATACATGCCTTTGAAAACTTAAACTCAATCTTCGACTCAGAGGATAATGAGCATTGCTTTCACATATTGTGCATGAGTTACAAGGAGTTGCCAGTACATCTAAAGCCTTGTTTTCTTTATATGGGAGTTTTTCGGGAAGACAGTGTTATTCCTACGNTTCAGAAGACACACGGATTAATATCTCGAAGCATCGTTAAACTATGGGTTGCCGAAGGATTTCTCAAACCAATTGGCAGCAAAATTTTAGAGATAGTTGCAGAAGAGTCACATAAGGGACGTTGTGGACAGAAATCTGATCTTAGTTGACAAATTTGGGTCCACACTAATCCACGATCTCCTAAGGGAAGTATATGCTTAAAATAAAACATCAAGGAACTGAATATAGTGCACAAGAAGCAACCTTTTTGTGATAATGATTATTGTCTCGACAATCTCTGCCGACTGAGCAAAAAGAAGGAAAAAAACTTCGACATGTAAGTAAAATGCAAGTAAAAAGAGTGGAACATGATTCATTAAAATATTGTTTGATACAATACAACCATATCGAATTGATATTAAGAAAATAAAAGTAGGTAAGGTGAGTAATATTTTTTGTTTCAAAATGTATAATAATAATTTATTTTAACTGTTAATTAATTATTTTTTTTTAATGAGATTGTAGAGCGAAAATTGGCATAAAATAAAATTTAAAATTCTTTTACTCCAATTCACAATTCTAATTCTAATGACATAAATTTCAACTAATCAAACACAAAATAGAACAATCTTATATCAAAATACCCAAATTTCTGCAGGACCATATTGGAATTAAGTGTATTTTTGGCTTCCATTTAGTAATTAACGAAAACTTTCGGGCAAAACAACACATCAATGATGCATCCCTATAAAAACTTCAAAATTTCAACTCTCTGAGTCGGAGAAACCAGAAAAATCCCGAATGGTTGTTCCCTTCGCTTACGGTGTTGTACGTCCAGTTTCCGCTCCATGGATCCGGTTAAGCCGCTCCACAAACCCGTTTCTCCCCTGTAGAAAAGGTTCATTTTCCGTTTCGAGAAATGGGCCCTCTCGTTGGAAGAGTACCCTCCACGCTTCCCTTCAGCCAAGTCGGTATTCTTTTCATCCATTGATTTTGATTGATCGTTCGTAGTCAAGTTTTGTTTGAGTTTTTCCTATTTTAGTTAATTTTTTCGTTAATTATATTGTTAGTTGAAATTGAGGCTTTTGAAGGTCATAGAACGAGTACTTTATTGAGTTGTTCGCTTACTTTTGAGTTCTTCTGTTGGATGGTGAGCTTGGTTTTTGAGAATTATGAAAGGTGTTTATATATATATATATATATATATATATATATATAGGATGTTAGAAATATTGGCCTTAAGCAATTAACCAGTGGATAGCTGATTGTATTAGCGGATAACGAATAGCGGATTGTATTAGTTGGTTTGACTAGTGGATTCAATTAGCGGTTTGCAAAATAAGCATTTGGTAACTGGTGGAAAATTATAGTTGTTATGTTCTATTGTTTGTTTGTTTGTTTTTTTTCTCTAATCATCTCTTCCCCAAAACGCTGGTCTTTAAGCTTTTTCAGAATTAGCGTTTTGAGTCCAAGAAGCTAATAAAAAAAGTTTGTTACCAAACAAACTAATTAGCGGATTTGATCTATGAATGAGGTTCAATCTGCTAATTTAGCACCAATCCGTTATATAAAAATGAGTCCGTTATAATTGTTGAAACTGTGGCTTTGGAATGTTGATGGATGCTAAAAACAAGGAAAAAATTCGATCCGACAATGCCCCATCTTTTCTACGTTAAATCAACACACACCCACATGTGAGGCAGATTTTTACTGTTGAATCAACACACACCCATGTGGGTGTGTGCGTGCATGAGTGTGTGTGATTCAACTTTAAAAAATCGGTACCCTTACTGGTAGGATCGAATTTATCATTCCAATTGTTTTATTGTTATTTTTTCTTGCTGTATAGGATTTAAGGTGTACAATTACATAGTGAACAGAAGCTTGTAATGAATGTCTGTTTGGGTGGCAGAAAAAAAGTAATGCATAGTCTATGCTTTAAAGTTTCTCCAATTTATCAAGCATTGAGCTTTAAATGGTACCTTGATGCATAAAGATATTAGTTGGATATTGTGTGTGTTGCACAAGTTTGAGCTTAATGGTCCTGTATGAGAAAACAATTTAATTGAAATGTGACCCGAAAAAGAATCCCCAGTAGTAGTGTAGTCTGAAATTGTTGTGTGTATGCACTTTAATCTTCAGGGCTCTTCATTAGTCTTGAAGGAACAGAAGTGTTTTGAATATAAGCTTGATTTGCGATTAAATTTTTTCTTCTTGTTTGATGGGTGTTTTAATTAACATTAAATATGAAAAAAAGAAAGTTGTCATGATGGTTATCATTTGAGTGCTTGCCAAATTGATATTGGAAATGTGACAGGGTGACTTAATCATATGCATTTTATATCATTTCTTAACTAATAATCTTGCGTATTGTATGTATACTATGTTTGATCGTGAATAAATTATGAAAATATGGATACTATTACTCATTTGCATATTATTTGGGTCATCGTATGATTAGTTTCTCTACGAATGCCCCTTTCGTAATCGAATATGCAATCAAAACTGTGTCCCTTTGCCTAATTATTCATTGAGGTGAGGACTTGGGGTGGGTGTTTCATATTCTTTTCCTCCTTTTCTTCTAAGGCTGGAAAGTGGAAAGTTTATTCAAATTTATACAGGGTTTAATTAATTGCTTTTCTTGCGAATTTTACAGGTTCTGTAAGTGTTTCAAATGGAGCCATTGACCAATCGGAAATCATTTTCATAGGAACCGGGACTAGTGAAGGGATTCCGCGTGTTAGCTGCCTTACTAACCCTAATAAGACATGTCCAGTAAGTCTATTGGACTAATGCCAATTTTCTGCATTATTTTCTTAAACGATTCTATGGCATTGGTCAGCAATGAGGTGGAATACTAAACAACTCATTTTTTTTTATTATTTATGTTTTTGTAAATTAATAGGTTTGCACCATGCAGAACCGTGACTTTTGCTCCTTTCTCTTTTTGCTCCAATCTCTTCCTTTTGTTTTAAGCCCTTTTTGTGTTTCTCTTACCATTGGTTCTCTTGGGTTTCATCTCTAGTCTACCCCAACTTGCTTGAGACTAAAAGGCTATATTGTTGTTGTAATAGGTTTGCACCAAGGCTACAGAACCGGGTAACAAAAACAGGAGACTTAACACAAGCATCCTTGTTCGCTTCCCAAGACCATCTGGAAGGTGTAACATTCTTATTGATGCGGGCAAGTATGTTAAAGTCTCTGACTTTTGACACTCATCAATGTAACACTCATAAATATTGATTTGGGAACACACACACACACACACTCAAAATATCAGATCTCGGATCAGTTGAGTTTTGCTGTATTAGTTTTCTTCTGGCCGACCTCGAGAATGGTCGGGGATAAAATTGTTAATAGAGAGAACTTTTTTCTTTCTTTGCTTGCTTATCTATAATATGCTAATAACTTATGGAACTGGGCTTAATTGACGTTCATTGTTTTTTATGTAAAGCACACATGATATCTACTAAGCTGCCATCCCTCTCACATGTTACAGGTTTTTCTATCATAGTGCTCTGAAATGGTTCCCTGCTTACGGGTAAGCTAACTTAGTTTCCTTAGCCCACAAATTATTTTGTGTGCTCTTAGTTATTGCACTTCACAAGATGCAAAACACAATTATGGTTTCGATTTTATTTACTGGGTTATTGTCCATTTGTTGCATTTGTTACATGAAGTTTTTGCATAGGGATAAACTTTACAGAGAGGACATCTTCACGGGTCATTTAACTCTGCTTAAGATACTATTGATAATATAAAAAAAAATGCTTAAAAACTTCTCCATTGCATTTTCTCAGTTATCCTTTATGACATTTGTGTGTTCTTCGTGAGCTTCTAAAATGAGAACTACTTGAATTTTTCTGTCAGGATAAGAACAATTGATGCGGTTATTATTACTCACTCTCATGCTGATGCAATTGGAGGTCTCTCGCATGATTACTCTCTATACTTACGTGTATGAACGATATCAATCGAATATCATGAATTTATGTTATATAAAGCTTATGTCCTTTTTCAGGTTTGGATGATCTACGTGATTGGACAAACAATGTTCAGCCTTCTGTCCCAATTTATACAGCACAGCGTGATTTTGAGGTCTTCCCGTTATTTGAATTAGAAAACTCGACTTGTATATCTTGTTTTGAAATAGAAAAACTCGTTGCATTTGGATGTTGGATGGAATTTTGTCAAGTCAATGGTCGCTTGATTATTTATTTTATTTTATTTTTTACATAATTACAGGTCATGAAGAAAACTCATTATTATTTGGTAGATACAAGCGGAGTTACGCCTGGTGCTGCAGTTTCAGCATTGCAGTTTAACATAATTCAAGAAGAACCATTTGTAGTGCATGATCTTCAGGTTTGAGATTTGAGATTTGAGATTTGTGCCTTTATTAATTAGGTTCAATTTGAATGACCCTATACTCAGATTCATTTTCTTTTTAAATTATTATTATTATTATTATTTCTCTATTAAACTGTTATTCGCAGTTTACTCCATTACCAGTGTGGCATGGACGTGGTTATCGCTCTCTGGGTTTTCGTTTTGGCAATATTTGTTACATTAGGTAACATTTTACTGAGCTTTAATAGGCTTTAATTAGTGTTCTTGAGAGAGCCTGACCATCTTCTTTTGTGCTTGTAGTGATGTTAGTGAAATACCTGAAGATACATATCCTCTTCTCGAGAACTGCGAAATCCTTATAATGGTTCTCTCTCTCTCTCTCTCTCTCTCTCTCTCTCTCTCTCTTATTTATTTTTTATATAATTTATTTTCATAATTAGGATGCCCTGAGACCAGATCGATCTTCATCAACTCACTTTGGACTTCCAAAGGTTCGTTCGTTCAAATTAATCTTTTTCAAATTAATCTCTTGAGTCCGTCCTAGTTTTGGTTAATTATATTTTTTTTAATTAATTTTCTGATTATACCATAATCCTGGAGATAGTAAATACATTTAAACTTTCTCAGGCTTTGGAGGAAGTTCGAAAAATCCGACCAAAAAGAACATTGTTCACCGGTATGAATTTTTACATAATCTGCATTTACAATCAAGCAAGTTGGCAATATTTCCACCCAATAGCCAAATAATTTCTTTTGAATTTTCTTTTCTTTTTTGAAATATGCTTCAATTTAAGGTATGATGCATTTGATGGATCATGACAAAGTAAATGACGAGCTCGTAAAGTTGAAGGAAACAGAAGGCCTTGACGTACAACTTAGCTACGATGGGCTTCGTGTGCCAGTAACTCTACTTTCCTTACACTCTCTTAAGCATTAAAATTTGCTCCTTTACTACAGTTTTTTGCAATTTGGGTGTGAAACTTTCATATTCTTTAGAGCCTCAAATTTTCAGAAAATGGGGTATTTTTGTTTGAAGTTATAATAAAGATTAATATCATGTACAAATTTCTGATTTCTTGATTTATTTTTATGGTTAAGGGGGATTGTGAAGACTCATCATAGGAAAATAGAGAATATTTTGTGATACTTATTACTATTCCTTTATTGTTGTTGTTATTATTATTATTATTACTTTTTTTTTTTACTTGGTTGCTAATATTTTTAAAGAATTAAGTTGAAATGCAATCGTTGATGTCGCTGTTAATGTGTTGCCCATATTCTACAGCAACTTGAAAAGCATCCTTTTTTTGACTTGGAAATGTGGATAATATAAAAATTGTCACTTCAAATACAACTGGATTTAATTTGTGTTTAATGGTCCTAATTTGGGGCTGAGGCTTACACACATAAGAAACTATTTATATTCTGATTAAAAAAGAAAAAGATAATATGATCACGGCATGAAAGTAGGGTTGCAAACGAGCAGAGACTAGGGTTGCAAACGAGCAGAGACGAACATCGACCTTATTGAGCNAATATTTTTAAAGCTTGGCTCGACTCAACAAAAAACACAAACGCTTGAGATCAACTCGAATTTTGCTTGGGCTCGAAGTTTCAATAAGAATAAGTAACTAGACGTAGTTAGGTAATGTTATGCATATATTCAAGCAACTAATCAACCACTTAGAGCATGTTTGTTTATAGAAATTTTGGTTTGGTTTGGTTAATTTTGAAAAAAGTAGTACGGTTAGTTGTTAGTGGGTATGTTAAAATAATATTTAAAATAAAATAATTAAAATTGATATGATGTAAAAGTATGAGAGAGATGATTTGAAGTGATGGTTAGTTAAAATAATGTGAATGGATGACTTAAAATGTTGATAATATTGGTGATAGTGGGGTTGAGTCAAAGTTGAGTTAAAAAAAAAAAGTAGTTGACTTAAAATGTTGAAATTTTTTTAAAATTTTCTTATAAACAAACATGCCCTAACAAACTATAGGCTCAAACTTGACTCGAATTCGATGCTTGATTCAAGCGCTCACGAGCTCCTCAATTTATTTTTTATAAGCACATTTTATGTTACTCTAGTTATTTTGCTACTATTTTTTTCCTCTATTTCATAATAGAGATTTTACAAAGCATGCTTTGCTGGCATTGGTCAAGAAACAAATCTAACATTATATTTGTCCTTCATCTCCATGTGCCTTTCATTTCCTGTGTCTCATCTTTTTTGTCTTTTGTTTGTGTGAAAAATATATATGCATCTTGTCCGACTTTAAATGGAATTTTACATTAATTTCATTTCATCATTTATATTACAATACACGATTTTTACAACACTTTTATTTGTTCTCTTTTCAACGCCATTATGCCTTTTATTATTATTATTATTATTATTATTATTATTATTATTATTATTATTATTATTATTATTTTCTATTTTTGGTCCACTGATTTCCCAATCAGTTTATGGGACCCTCTGCTTTTTTTCTCCTTTGTGCCCCTCGTGAACTAGTACGCCCCCACCTCGTGTTTTGTAGGTTGACTGTAAAGTCTTGTTTGGTCCCTAAAAAAATTGTTTTATTTTCGAAAAGGTATATTAGTTTGGAAAATGTTAACTAGGTCATAGCTTAGTTATGTGATTTTTCCACTAGCCAATTCGAGGAGAAATAGTGACAGATGGTTGGCAATATTTTCGAAAATTGAATATATATATTTTTTTTTTATACTAAAGCATAGTTTTATTTATTTTGTTTATCAGATATTGCTAGCTCAAGTGCTCGACTATCTGTTCTTACAACAAAGAGAGAAAGTTTACAATATACGTACATTATGATATCCAATATCAAGACTGACACTGTTTGCTTGGAAATAAATATCGTTTGAAATAGCCAATTGTCCTATTAAAGCATGATTTTATATATATATATATATATATATATATATATATTTTAGAAAAAAAAAGAGTATAAAACTTTCATATTATTAGAGTTGTTTGTTCTGAAAGAAGGTAGTGAAAGGCGAAGATGGATATTGAGAGTGCAGTTTTGTTATGAAACTATAGAATTGTACGTTTTATGAAACGAACATATAACTATTCGTAATTGGTTTAATGACACATATCCTAAAATAATAAATTTAGGATAAGTATCAATACTTCAATTTCAGACTAGAATGATATCAGAGAAAATAAAAATACATTTTCTTGTAAAAATAATAGTTGCAAAATATGAGAAAAGAAATATGTGGGTGATTGTGGAATGATAATGGTTCATTATATGGTTCTTGTTTTAAAGATAAAATGTGATTAGCAATAGACAAGAAAGTGCGTACAAGCCTACATATGGTTGAAAGGCATCAAATTTGCATTTATCCTAATAAAAAAAATATAAATAAATAAAATTGATTGATTAAATTTGACATGCTTGTCACATTGACACTCCCAGTACATATGTCACTTGATACGATACGTTTGCTAACAATAAGATAGGTATGTATGGGTCCACGTATTTTATTTCAACTCAACAATTAGACAATTATACATTTTTAATAAATATGTTAAAATTGAAATATTATACTATTGTAATAAATAATATAAACAAAAATATGACATCTCAGAACATAAGTATACATTTTTGTAAAAAATAAAAATAAAAAAGACCCACTCGGTTAATATTTAGGCCGCCTCATATATGAATTTGTGCATGAGATATGGTTTTTAGCAAATACATCTTCTAATAAAATAACTATATCACTACTTTAAAAGGTATGAAGTTTCAACTTTCAATACATATACATGTTTCTCGAACGAAAATGATTTTATTTAGTCAACAACTTTTGTGGAAAAATTAGAGTTAGAAAAACTAAATAAGGAAAAGAATAAAATTTGGTTGATTAAATTTTTTCTAACATCAATATATATATAGATATATGACTGCAATTATATGTGACCCAAAGTCGTCCCAATTATATCCCACTAAAACATATTGTTTGGATAAAATTTTGAAGCCTCTAGGTATCAATATCCAATTGATTCCATATATATATCTGATGCATGTGCATGAGATATTAATTTATCTCAATTATTTAAAAACTGAAATATAATAAGCAAGGATGTGGACATTGATTTAGAAACATCATATAAGTAGAACTAATATTTCGTACCTGTAGCTGTCCAAAAAAATAAAAATAAAAAATCTCACTTTTACATAGCTAGAAATGTATAATGGGGAAATACTAAAAGAATGTGAGTCAATTTACAGATAACAAATCAATAATTTTCTTCTCCAATTTTCGTAGTCATCCCTTAGTTAATATTTGATAATACTTTGGTCTTAAATATCAATCCCTTTCATATTCACCTTCGTATGCTCTTCGCCTCTTCCCAAAGGACCCAATTTTAGGTGATGACTATTATAGTAGCTATCTATTTGAATAGGCTTTTATTTTATTCTATTTAATTTTATAGTTCATTAATAATCGTGGGAATTGAGTTAAATCAAATTTAGGATGCAATTTGGCCCAGACCCGCCTGGCTTGGACCGGCCAGCAATCTTAAGGGCGGGTTGGATTAGACCCGTTTTCTCAATGGGTCAAATCGAGTATATTAAGTTATATTTTTATAATATTATAGCCTATTTATGAATTAAATTCTGCCACTTATAATTGATCAAAATTCAAATCTCATCTCGAGGTAGAATGAGTAAGCATACCATAGTGTTCGTGTATAAGAAAATCAGCACTACTAATTATAACTTGTTCATAAATTANATCTAAATATTTTATTCGGGCATATGAGCTGGAGTAGCATGTTGGTACTAATTTTGGGTTGAGTGCAGACCCCATTTTGAAAAACCAAGAAAAATTTGCAGAATAAAACAGGATAATGACAAAATACAGCAATTATTTATTTGTAGTTTAATTAATTATTATATCGTACAAGATCGTTAAAATTTATACATTAAAAAAGAAAGGTGCATGTTACATTGACATATGTTATTGACATTTATTAATGAGTTCTATATATCTAGTGCATACGGCTTCATATTCTATATGTATCAAAAGATTATAATATTTACAATATAGTAATAATGAGATTAAAATGAACCAGAATTTTGTATTCTATTTTGTGTTTTATTTCATTGGATACATGATGACACACATTTATAATGACTTCATATTTATTATAAACAGGAGTGCTGATATATAGATGATTGTTTTCGTACCTTTTACATTTTTTTAATGACCATTTCATTTTTCTTTCTTGTATATAAATATTTTTCAGAAATTTTAATATTTCAAAACTTTAGTATTCTCTGAATTTTTTAATTTTCATAACAGCTCACTATTTCGTATTTTCAGAAGTCGAGTGAATTTGGTGCGATTCTCACATATGCATGATTCAAGTTGTTATAATTCTAACAATTTATGATAACTATTTATATATCTATAGTTAATGCAATAATTATCATGTTGAACGAATAAACTAAAGTAGAATTGGTATTATTATGTTTCCGAAACTTTTGAACGAAATAAAAACAAAGGGGCAAAAATAAAATTCTCATAAAGTAATAATAATATGCTTAAGGAAAAAGGCAACAACTATACTCGATCTACTGTGCATATACAAATATACAATGTAAGATGGAATAACAACCTAATATACTTTTGGTAACAAGAGGACTATCCAAATAATAATAATTATATCCTTTTTTTTGAAGTCATATGGGCTTTTTGTCAAAGGGCCTTAATCAATGACTCAATCATGTAACACTGTAAAAATTTTAGAAAGCTGAAAGGTGTCTACTGTCAAGACCTAGTAATTTNTAGAATTATAAAAGATTACATGGTTCAAATCAAGGTCTTTTTCTATGTATACAAAATCACATAAAAATCAAACTCTTTATAATATTTAACATGGTGGGCTCTCTTTTTGAGTTACTTTATGAGGGAAGAGGAAGGTGGTGGACAATTGAGCAAAAAGAAAACAAATTAAAGGATAAAAAATAAAAAGAAATATGTTCATTATTTTATATTAATTTCTGATTTAATTTCATATCATTTTTTTATGTAAGCGAGCTGATTCAATCTGAGTTAGAGCTCCTGATACTCAAACTCGATTATTTATCGAATCAACAAACGAGCTCGAGCTCGAGCTCAGCTTGTTTATCAATATATTAGTCATAGAAAATTACATAATAAGTTCAATTTTCGAGCATTAACGAATCGGCTTGTTAATTATATGAGGTTTTAATGGCTCGAGCGTAGCCATAAAAATTCTAATGTTTTAATCCTAAAGAATTTTTTAATTTTTTAACTAAAGAAGCTTATAATGAGCTCGGAAAGGAACCGAACTTACTAACGACTTATTTTGTTTATAGGGTGATTGTTTATCATCTCAACTAAAAAAAAATTAATCAAAACTCAACTTTAACTCCACTTTAACCCAACTCTATTATCTTCAATATTATCAATATAATTAAATAATATCAACCAATTATTTTTATACATCACATCAACCTCAAATCACTATTCATCCACTCACATAATTTTAACTAATCATCACTCTCAATCATTTTTCTCCTACTTTTATATCATATCAACTTTAATTATTTTATTTTAAATATTATTTTAATATATCCACTAACAACTAACCATACCATTATTTTTTAAAATTAACTATAGTTAAAAAAAACCAATTAAAATATAGTTAAATCTATAAACAATCACCCCTTAATAGCTAATCAAGCTTAATGTAATTAGATAAATTTCATTGCATATTATATTATATAGAGAATAAAACTCGAGTGTAATTTTTGAAAGAAAATTCAAATTTTATATTTCTTGTTTTTTTTTTTGTTTGAATAAAAACAACACACTTAGGCAATGTTTGGTAAAACTAACTGATAAGCTAGCTTATAGCTTATCAGTAATTTTTTAGCTTAACTTATAGCTTATGACTTATAGCTGAAAAACTAGCTTATATAATAAAAGTGTTTGATAAATTAGCTGATAAGCTAGCTGAAATGAAAAATTCAACTAGTTTATTTGAAAAGCTACCTAAAGAAGTTTATCAAATAAGCTCAAGCTTTTTAAAAAAACTCGTCCTACCACACGAGACTTATTTGAATACAGAGAGCTTATAAGTTAACCACGTAAATTATATAAGCTAGCTTATTTATCTACCAAACATAGATTTATGAAGCTCATAAAGGGTTTATTTTCCTATTTATTTTTGAATTTGAAAGCGCATAAGTGTGGAATAAAGAAAAGATCAGATTTTTATGGGGTTTTGGAGAAGAGAACAAAAGTAGACAGAAAGTGAACGTCAGAGTTAGCCGTAGGGATGTGTTTTTTTCTGATTACACGAGATGGGTCTTAATTTTCTTTTGTCATTTTCTTTTTTACATTAATTTTCACACACATAAAAATAAACAAATAAATAAATAAATAATACAGACTCTGATTTCTTTTTCATCCACACCCCTCTCTCTCTCATATGAGATGCATACACATACACAGAAAAAGAGAAGATAGATGTTAGAAGAACTAAAAAATAAAAAATAAAAAAACACTTTCTTTCACCATAGAAGAAGATGGTTTTCATTTTCATTTGTTCTTACATGCATGCTTATAATTGGATTTTCTTGGTTTTAGCAAGAAACTCAAACTCCATTTGAAAGCTAGCTAGCTGCTCAAAATCTCTCTCTCTCTCTCTTTCTTGTTTATTACACCTTTTGTTTTTCTTCAAGAACTACAAAAAGGAGTTGTCTCATGGGTTGATGCCAAACTGAGGAAACAAGCCATAATCAACAAGAAGGTCTGAAATTTTTCCTTTTCCTTTTTTTCTCAAGAATCAAAATCAACAAAACCCATTTTAAAAAAAAATAATAATAAAAAATCAAACCTTTGAAGGAATGAACAAAAATTTTTATTAGTTTTTTGCACCTCTTTCACCTGATTCTTACACATACCCTTTCTCTTTTGTCCATTTTTCACCTACTTTTTAGACTTTCTTTAGGTATTAGTGTGTTTTGTTTTTGTCTTTAGATCTCAAATACTATTGTCTTGTAGCCACCAACAAGACTCAGATCTGTGGCACAACACTTAAATCTTTCTATCTCAAATTCTCCATCCAAAAAGAGAGAGAGAGAGAGATAAATCATATATTTATATATATGTTATATAATCCCATCTGCTAGCTGATTTTCTGAAGTTGTGAGAAAAATGAATATAAAGAAATTAATGATGAATTTTTTTGCAGATAATTAGCAGCAAAATCCTTACAGTGAAGAGAAAATGTCCAATCTAACCTCGGTCTCTAATGAAGCAAGTGTTTCTTCTACCAACATAAATGGCGGCGCCGTGTTTTCCACTGCACAGTATAATTTCCCACCGCCGGCTTCTCAGCCTCCGCCGGCCAAGAAGAAGAGAAATCAACCAGGCCATCCAGGTAATATATATATATATATATATTCATAATAAATAAATAATTATCAAAAATCTCCTTCTCCAAATATTCTAAGGTCATAAAATTAATTTCTTGCTCATTTATCTTTTTCAAGATTTCAATATTCTGCAAAATGAACAAGTTCTTGTCACATAGATACCATGTTACAATTTTTCATTATTTCATTTTCATGCTGGAAAAAATATTTCATCTTCTTGGTTCATAAATAAATAAATAAATTAATTAATTAATAATGCTGTAAATTTTTTCTTGAATCATCCATAATTTTCTTTTCCCATTTTCTCCCAAAAAAGAAAAAAAAAAACACAAACCCAGCAATAAAAATCCAATCTTTTTAACAAAAACCAACTCAAAATCCCTTCAAATGCAGACCCAAATGCAGAAGTCATAGCCCTTTCCCCAAGAGCCCTCTTAGCCACCAACCGATTCGTATGCGAAATCTGCAGCAAAGGCTTTCAACGCGACCAAAACCTTCAGCTCCATCGACGAGGCCACAATCTACCATGGAAGCTCAAGCAAAGATCTCCCAAAGATATCGTTCGGAAAAAAGTTTACATTTGCCCGGAGCCCGGTTGTGTCCACCACGACCCGTCTCGTGCGTTAGGCGACCTCACCGGAATCAAGAAACACTTTTGCCGGAAGCACGGTGAGAAGAAGTGGAAATGCGAAAAGTGTTCGAAAAAATACGCGGTTCAATCGGATTGGAAAGCCCATTCAAAGACTTGTGGCACAAGGGAGTATAGGTGTGATTGTGGCACTCTTTTCTCAAGGTAATTAAAATTTCATTTCATCATCTCTTTTGAGTTTTTGTTGTGTTAACTTTTTTGGTTTTGATGATTATTGGGTGTGGTGTGGTCTAGTGAATGAAATTAAG